TGAAACTACAGGAAAATACAGCAATGTCTGGCAATGAAAGTGAGTGATTTGTGTGGCAAAAACATTTCAGAATAAATCAAGCTCCCAAACACAACACTGTGACAGTCGTGAAGCACGTGACCCCGGACAGCACGTGCAAAAGGTGGTATGCCATATTTAACATTGTCACTCTGTCAGATCACAACCGAGTCACAACAAATATTAATTTCTTGGAACTAAACGCTCAAAGACACTTTATTAAACACATGTAACGATTAAGGAAGCAACAGCATTGATCATGCGACGTTTGCACGTGCTGAACGTCTACGTGACATAGGCAGGTTGCAGGTGGGCACAAGTCAGAATATTATTGTCCAAACGCTACATGTTTCTCAATTGCCATCAGCAGATTGTGGGTCCGATACCAACAAAGACGTAACGTCGATGATCGACGCCACTCTGGACGCCCAAGGATAACAACTCCTGGCCAGGACAGACGAGTCGGAACGATGGCATTAAGAAATCGGTAGTAAACCTCCACCGAGATAACGGACCGGTTGCAACAGGCAACTGGTGTAAGGGTAGATGCCCAGGCGGTGCGAAATCGTCTGCACAGATGGCATTAGCGTGCACGACGTCCACGTGCCGTCCCACAACTTACTGCACGTCATTTGAAGCAGAGGCGTCACTGGTGTAGGGAACGTCAGCACTGGGATAATTTGACGTCGGGCTGATGTCATTTTTTTCTGACGAATCGCAGTTCACTCTCCACGATTGAAGGAATCCAGTTTGGAGACGTCCTTATGAGCGTTTTATGGACGTTAACCTCGTACAGCATGATCGTTATGTGGGCGGGTCCATAATGGTATAAGGGGGTATCAAAATGGCGGGATGAGCTGCGCTTAATAATGTCCATGGCAGAGTCACCGGTTTATACTTTCGGGACATCATTTCACACACCACTCAAGACAACTCAAGATAATGCACGTGCTCATCGTGCCAGGATTGTGACCAAATTCCTCCAACGGTGGAAAGCCACGCATCTGTGTTGCTCTCTTGTGGAAGTCAAGCTCACATTGGTCGACCCATCGGCCGCATGCCTCGAAGAATTCGTGCATGTCTGGCCAACATAGGTGCTTTTATCGCTATTAGTGACGTTGGCTGCAAATTTCGAATTCGACCCCCGACCTCTTTAACGACCTTAGAACCCATCAGATCTGATCGCCTACTCCCCAGCAGATATGGTCATTCCATTTGCCAATACAATATCGATCAGATGTTGTGTTTGTGCGGTGTAAGGGAGACAACTCTGACACTTATTACAAGGTTGACGACAGTTTTACACATGGTAAAAACGTACGTATCTAGTTTGGCATTTCAGTTTTCCATATTCCGAGGCGTGCTTATTTAAGTTATATCAGGTTTATTTTTAACCTCCACATAATATTTTGCAGATGTGATGCATCTTGATTCAACACAGCAATCCGTATCACGTTCTGCACTTCGTTGTTGCCTTGCACTCTCGGTTTCATTCGGACCGTCGTGTGTTAGTTTCATGTCCTTACGGAAACAGATTCGTTTGTTTTAAACGCCACATTGGCTGCCAGTAAATAATCGAGTTTGGACCAGACAATCTCGTGAGCACTCGATCCATAGAATCGCATCTTCGACCATCACAGCCTGACGGGTTGCTGGGGACCTAATCGAATCCGGATTCCGCAGGGGCGAAACTAGAATCTGGGAATCCGGATTCCGCAGGGGCGAAACTAGAATCTGGGTGTTTGCAAAAACAGAACCAAACCATTCGCAGCCAATTACCCCAAATGTTAACATAACGTGTACGTCCTGGATGAAACATTACTTCCTGTTTGTTTGTTGTTTAATGCCGCACTCAGCAATATTGCAGCTACATGACCGCGGTCTGTAAATAATCCGAGCCTGGACCAGACAATTCAGTGTTTGACATCATGAGCATAGATCCACGCAATTAGGATACGATGACATGCATCAACCAAGTCAGCGAGCCTGACCACCCGATCCCGTTAGTCGCCTCTTACAAGCACAGTCGCCTCTAACATTGCTGCTATCATAATGTAGTTTAATGTACATGAATCGTAGGAACGGGGATTGACGTGAATCTTAAATATTTTGGTTTTGGCAAGAGAATTTGTCACCTTATACGGCCATCATCGGTTGCTGAACACATATTCTAACCCGGATCTTCACGGGATTTTGCACACAGCTAGACTGGGAATATAGAATGTCCCTCTCATGGCAAAATATTTTAATGCTGCGATTTAGTCGTCTTAAATACAGAGAACATCTTTACGGAATAGATACCAGGTATACAACAAAAGATAACACTTTGAAAAAAGCAAAACGCGTGTATATCCAATCGACGTTATGGAGAAATCATGTGATTCAACAGATTCAAGTGATATCTCAAGACTTTAACCATGTTATGGTAATTGGTTGATGCATAATGTCTCCATTACATTGCAAGTGATACTGGCATGTTCGGAATGGCCAGTGAATTCCTGGCTAGGAATCAACTACAAGAACAATAGCACGAGTCATTTAGGTTTAATTACCAATACGCCCCCTTGGACGAATTACATCCCAATTTTAGTCTACTAAGTCAGTTAAGGCAAAGTCAAAATCCATTCTGCCCTGATCAATGCTAAAATCCAGTGCTGCTCTGAGAGAAAGTAACCAAAGTGGTGCAAACTAACTTGAACCCGATCCCTAGTGAGAAATCCTGTGGTCAATGTGGCAACAGATCCACCCATTCAAGGCCACAATAAATTATTTTTATGCAGTTTCTTAATTAGGTGAGGTGAAATGGGGTTTAACGTCGCTTCCGAGATTATTGCACTTATATAGTGACGTGCATGTACGTGTGTGTGTGTTTGTGTGGTTGCTTGTACTAGTCCGGACTGATGCCGATTTATAGTGCTAGCTCACTGAGATACCATGCCGCAATTTAACATGAATACCCCACTCAGACACAGTATACTGACTCCGAGCCGATCAGTCCTTTTTTAGCCCTTTAATGCCGAGCGCCAGACAGGGTAACAAGTACCATCTTTTAACGTCTTTTGGTGTGACGCGGTCGGGGATCGAACCCCGGACCTTCCGCTCTCCGGGCGGACGCTCTACCACTAGACCACGGAGGCGGTCAGTTTCTTAATTAAAATAGGAGGCATTTTATTTCTTAGCTGACGAATATTTCCAATATGGAAAGGTTTTCATAATGCAATCAGTGGGATTTATAGAACATGCTGATTAGCAACAGATGCAGAATGTCCAGTTGGATTTAACTCCACTTTGAACAATATTCCAGTCATATCACGTGTGTCAGTCCTTGTGATACATGTCTCAGACGTTTGCCATGGGTATGGTGCTGACAAACCTGGAAACAACGGGGGTGAACCAGGATTCAACCTGCCTTTGTAGGTTTCTGGCATGCCCAAGGGACGCAACTCTGCACAGCGAATCGCGGCGCCTTAGACGACTAGGCCACCCGCGCATGTATGTTGCTGGGATTCTAAAATCATGTATTGGTTTTCATCAAGAAAAGAAAAAAAAAAAGATTATCATCTACAGTAATTTGGGCAGATGAAAAATCTAACAATTACTTAATATTGGCTTAAGGTTCTCATTGCAGTCAACAAACAAGCATCATATGAGTAGTCTGTAGCCATGGTATAAATAGTCAATAGATGTAGACCAAAGTGCTGCCGCACATTGTACCAACTTTAAAGGGCAAGTTCACACGGAAATGAACCAATTTTTCTTGTACTTTTTCCACATTAAAAGTGTTAACATAGAAGTGTCATAGACAAAAATATAAAAACATCATATTTAATTAACATCTTTTTTGCATTAAAACGATTTATATTTTTCACATTTACCAAGTGTTCTATTTCCATAACAAAAACACCATGGCTTATGCCCCTTGCAATATGACGTCATTGGTGCCAATTGATAAACATTATGACGTCATCATGCTATGTTAGAGCCGCTTCACGTGGTGTAGGTACAGTTTTGTGATTCTAGCGTCTCAGATGCCAGCCAGAATTGTGTTATGCTGAGTCACTACTGCGCCGGAGTGTGTCGTAGACCATGTTGTTTTACCGCAAACTGGTCCTTGATATCTTTTGCGTTGAGAATAGACAGGGACCCAGTTGAATTGGCACCAATTACGTCATAATCTAAGGGGAATAACTCAGGCCTATTTCGCTCGTAAAACGAAGGCCTCATAACGGCATATCATTTTAACACTATTGTGAGCTTCCTACTTTCACTGTGAAAAAAAATGAGTGTATATTTTCAAACACAGATACTAATTAATTCTAAAATTCCGTTTTGTTTAGAAAAAGAAAGAAAGTGATTTTTGCGTGTACACTTCCCCTTTAACCACAAAGCTACCCTAAACCCCAACCTTACCAGTAGACTAGACACGCCTTTAAGAGATCACAGCTGTTTGAAGAAAAACCCGACAAAGGTTAGTTTGAGTGACATTTTTATACCAAGAGCAGATCAAGAAGAACAGTGCCTTTCGCCAATCACTGAACTGGTCTTCAACCATATGGAGAAACACTGAATGATAAACATGTCCTTAATCACAGTCTACTGGCCAACAGTGAGGATTTATGTAGAGCCAACATGTTCCCTTCACCCTGTACATAAATCAGCCTGGAAGAGGAATGAGAATGTTTATTTTCAACAACAAAAAACACTGAGAGTTAGCCGAGTGTCTTGGGGAGTGATTTGTGTGTGTGCTGTAGCGGCATGCATCACAAAAGTGACCCTTGACCTAATGGAATCCATGGGGGAACTTCTCCAGTGGATGAAAGTATTGGCAGTAATAATCCTTGCATCGGGGAATGATCACACAATCATCACAGCTCCACATTATAATCATCCGCTTCTGGCAAGCAGGGAATCCTGGTCACATTCTGTCCTTGAAATCCTTAGGGCCCGGTCAGGAGAAATGTTACACGAAAAGTCACACAATATAATATTTATATAAGCTTTATTGATCTTCTCAAAGCTTACCCGTTGTGACATCTTTTGGAAATCGCATCATGTGAAAAGTTATATTGACTGCAATGAAAGCCTGTCAGCATACTAAATGTTAGCATGGTCAAGGCTGATCACGTTATTTAAGCATAAAAATGTTGTAGATCCCTTACAATAAATTACATCTGTACAAATATTGACGAACTGATCTTTGGCACCTGCGATTTCTAAAAGACATGAAAGATAAAAGCAGAAAACTGCGTTGGGTGTAACTGTTCTCATGCCAAATGTCTGACAGCAGCTCTTCTGAGTCAAGTCCAGCCAATCTGAGGAGCTCCTTTACTTATATATTGTCCTTGGTTACTGGAAGACAAAAGTAGGCAATCATATTTCAATACATAAAGGGCATGTCAGGTTGAATGTATGAACTGATAATTATAATAAATCGCTTATTTATCCATTGGATCAAGCAGATAATAAATATACCGAACGATCAATCATGGCAGTGGTAGAAACTAACATTTTTAGTCCACTGGTCGTTGTAATGACAACATATAGCAAGACTTAGACTAGTGCCAATTTCAAACCTCCCCCAAAAATGGACATAATTGACAGTCAAACGTTGTGGACAAAACGGATACCGAAAATATATCCCAAAATATCAAAAAGATGTTTGTCAAACAAAAACTTGCAGCTATGACAGAAACAAGTTAGAAATGATGTTTTGACAAATTGTTCTCCCAAACCATTCTCAACCACAAAGTGAAAGTAGTATCACAAAATGGCTATCATAGGTGGGTATTCGTACTTTGAAAATATCAGTGTTGTCAAATAAAATGTAGTTAGTAGTAGTGGTGGATATAGCACGTTTGTACAAACTAGACCAAATGTCGTCGTGGGCGCTTATTAGAGCGGGGCACTTATAATGTTGAATACGGTAAGTCATCCTATGACAAGCATAGGTAGATGGGGACAAATTCTAACCCAAAATCCCCACAGGGTGTTGAGTTGGAGAAGTAGGCACAATATTTTACCCTATGTTATGGTTAAAGTGTGTGAGAGTCAAGTGGGTCTTATTATTGAATGCAATGTTCAACAAACACACAAATCTAAACCAGTGAGACAAACCCTTGTGTCTACCAGTACTGACCTAAACTTGGCATCATTTTCAGAAAAAATTTTTTATTTATTGTTTGACGCCACACTCAGCAATATTCCAGCTATATGACAGCAGTCTGTAAATAATCAAGTCTGGATGAGACAATCCAGTGACTGACATCATGAGCATCGGTCCATGCAACTGGGATACGATGACATGCATCAACCAAGTCAGCGAGTCTGACCACCCGATCCCGTTAATCGCCTCTTACGACAAGCATAGTTGCCTTTTACAGCAAGCATGGGTTGTCAAAGATGGGGAATCAACCCGGGTCTTTGGCGTGACGAGCGAAATTCTAACCACTGGGCTACCTGACTGCCCCTGTACCATCATAACCTCAACTTGGCAGACCAAACAGAATTTTACTAGACTCGGGCTTCAGACTGTTGGCTAAAATCACAGACTGCTAAAATAGATATAAACTTCCTGAACACATTAATGGATATCCTAAAATATTCAATAAATGTCTGTAAAACATTAACTTGCAGCTATGACAGAAACAAGTTAGAAATGATGTTTTGACAAATTGTTCTCCCAAACCATTCTCAACCACAAAGTGAAAGTTGTATCACAAAATGGCTATCATAGGTGGGTATTCGTACTCTACATTAGAAACTGGCACTAGTCCTACAGCCATTGCCAAACAGGTCAATAGCTAAAGCAGCGTTAGAAATTGGCACTCGTCCTGTTATCCTTGTCAAACTGCCCAATAGTAAAGGTATCATAAGGACTAGTAGAAATTTGCCAATTTAGGATACCTTACAGGGGTAGAAACGAAGGACAAGAAAACATTTTTCTATCGCTGAGTGAGTTTGAATGGGTGGAGATGAACATAGATGGCAAGGACTTATTTGGAATTATTTTGTACTGTATGGCGTAAATGATAACTAAGAACATAAAACTTTATGAAATTTAACAGAGTAAGTGAAACAATTTCAGGACGAGAACAAAAAATTATCTAGTTACCCTGCCGGACATGTTAGGATTGACATTTTTCGAGTCCTGTATGTTGACGACTCGGTATGAAAGGCCATGTGTATTTAATATCGAAGGAGACATGTCCAGTCTGTGCCAAAAACTTTGAGTCTACTAACCCGAACTTAGCTCTAAGCAGTAAGCAACATTTTCAGATTTTACAATTTAATTTTACATACACACTGTTATTAGCCGAGCTTAGTAGACCAATCAGAATTTGACTAGACGCTGATTTCAGACTGGTGCTGTCGAGTCCACAGACAGGGTTGATACTGCTACCAATTTGCAGCATGTACTTACACATTTCTCTTCCTTCAGTCCACGTCGAAAGAACCACATGGTGATGACGTCTGTTTCCGAGCAGCGATGAAGGGGAATAATGAAGCCGTCAATATCTTTTGGGTCTTCATAATCGATGGGGACTGCAAATCAAATCAAATCAAACTACACTGAAACACCCTTCGACTTCTTTGGAAATGAACTATATCTGCAATGTCTTAGGTAATAGCAAGTAGAGAAGGAAGAGCATATTTTCGCCATAATTGTTGATTTGTTTTGTTTCTTGTTTTACGCCACACTCAGCAATATTCCAGCTATAAGACGGACGTCTGTAAATAATCGAGTCTTGGCCAGACAATCCAGTGATTGATATCATGAGCATCGATCCACACAATTTGGATCGATGACCTGCATCAACCAAGTCAGCGAGCCTGACCACCCGATCCGTTAAGTTGCCTTTTACGGCAAGCATGGGTTGCTGAAGACCTATTCTACCCCGGAATATTCACGGTCACTTAATTAATGGAGTGAGTGAACATGTATGGTTTTACGCTGCTTTCAGCAATGTTCCAGTTTAAGGTCCATACAGATATGGAACACTAACATTCAAGGCTGCCAACTGTCATTTCAGGGTTTTTAGCCATAGTCTCTATTTCATTAAATCCAGGATACCATGTATCAGGTATACAAGTTGTGAGAACTAAAAAGCAATATGTCCATCACACATTTTCCAACAAGATTTATATTCAAGACTTTTCAAGAGAGACCTAACACTTAAGGCTTTTTCAAGCCTGTAAAAACCCGGCAGTAATATCAGGAGGGGAGACACCTTAAAGGACAAGATAGACACAATTTTATGGATATCTTGACATCCGTCAACTTCTAAGTAATGCCTATCAAACAATTTACCTTTACACATTGTAGTGATTGAGTGAGTGAGTTGGTTGGTTTTAACGCCGCTTTTAACAGTATTCCAGTTATATCGCGGCGTGTCAGCTTAATGTGGGAGGAAAGCCCAAAGTGATGCAGGTCTGTGACGTTTACCACTTCACAGGTATGGTGCTGACAAACCTAGAAACATAATTGGGGCGAGCCGGGATTCGAACCCACAATCATAGGTTTCGGGAGTGCCCAAGGGACGCAACTCTGCACAGCGAATCGCGGCGCCTTAGACGACTGGGCCACCCGTGCCCCCCTTTACACACTGTACCAATGTGGGGAATCGAAACCTGGGTTTTCAGCGCCATGAAATAATGACCTGATTGTGAGACCTTCTGGAAATATCTGACAAAGTAGTTCATTTCAAACATTATTTGAAATGATAAACTTAGTCAACTTGATGTCCCATCAAAAGCGCGACCATTTAATCAATGTTGAAAAGACGGCTATCAGAGATGGTAACCATGGTTACAGGAGGCACAATTTTCAAATTTTAGGATAATGTCTGATCATAATTGACAGGGGTTGAAAAATATCATTGCCTGCCGCCCGTGACAAGTAAGGTTTAGATGTCGGGCGAGTAATATATGTTTTCTAGCATGCCCGTGGACAAGTGGAGCACATAAAATGAACTGGGTCAAGTTTCACGAGAATGTAGTCATGTGATCATGTTACGATATTTCATTGGCTAATATTTTGCTGATGTCTCTGACTGGCAATCTAATTTGCATACAGTTACACTAGTCAACCAATGGGATTAATACACATCGATGTCAGGCAGGTCAACGATGAGAACCAGGCTTGTTTCATTGATAAATTATGGTAACACTTCCATATATAGCACATGCTTCTTAGAAATTGAATGACGGAGAGTTGACTACATTTCTTGGAATTTGTATTGCGAGGTAGGTGTAATGCTGACTTTTGAAGCACGCCACCAGCGCATACACAGCTTTGGTACAACTGATCGCTGTTGCCTGATATTTGACCAGTCACCGTCGCTCGCGACAGTGAAAACATTATGTTGACATAATTGTCAAACTACAACAAATATGACTTTCAGCGAGTCAAAGTATGGCATTTATGATAGATATATTTATTCTCTATCCACTAAAGTTTGTTTCAAGGCATCAATAGCAATAATCTGACCATGGCTGCTGTAAATAACGATGAGTTGTGCGATCTACCGATCACTTCACACATGATTTCGCCTAAATGAATGTGAACAAATATTGAATGTAATTTTAAATAACATAAATAGTGATCAGCTGATAATGTTTTTGTAGATGAGGGGAAAAACATTGTGTCAGTGTAAGACTTGACTTTATAAAATATGTACCGTAAGTACATTTTGGGAGCCATGCGTTATGCATTCAAAACGGGTTATCGCTATATCGTTGGGCGCAATAGCGAGGGTACACTGTATCTCTGATTCTCAGTACTGTAGATGTACATTTTTTACTGAATTTATAAGCTTGATTTGGGGCAAGTACATTTTAATATAGGGCAAGTAAAAATGTTGGTCATACTTGCCCTTGGTCAAGTACGTTATTCATAAATGTTCAACTCGATTCAAAATAAAGTATGTCATCATAAGGAGAAACATCCATCATACATGCCAAACAAAGTCAACTTGTTGAAAACAGGGTGCAGTTGTACAAAACCTTAGCACTGCGACTGTCGAAGTCTATGTCAGGCTAAGGGAGTTACAATCACCTTAGTGCTGAGATCGGTTTGCAGGGTTAGAAATTGGCACTAGTCCTAAAGTCCTTGCCAAACTGCCCAATGGTAAAGGTATCATAAGGACTAGTAGAAATTAGCCCTTTTTAAGGGTTTTGCTATACGTTAGCATTATAAGGACTAGTGGACGAAAAATGTTAGTTTCTAACCCTTGTTTGTACAACAGCACCCTGATCAAGTGGGTTTTTTTTAGGAGTACTGTTTACATTCTTAGGAAATGCATTTTGGGAGGGAATTTAGTGGCATAGCTAAAAATCAACATATTGTGAAAAACAGAACACGTGTTCAACCCCACTACTTACAACACAAATTGCATTGCCAGATTACATTTTGAAGGAAAAATGGCGGACAAAAGGCCAAAAAAGCTTCAGCTTCAGTATGGATGAAAGCTCAAAGGTCACAGCAAGCAGGGCTGATTTAAGAACTTGATTTAACTCGCACCAGGTGCATGACCTATTCTAACCGGATCTCTACGAGGCCACACAGACAGACACTGGACAGGTAGAACATGACATTTAAGTTGTAACTGGACTTTCATTCGGGTGAGATAAGACGGAATCTTACATCTAAAGAACTGGATCTCATCAAAGTTCTTCTTAACTAAGCTGGTAAATTTCACAGCCTCCTCCTTGAAAGAATTGGATTGTGCCTTTTTGTCTTCATCACTCAAGTCAGATTCCATGATGCCAGCTATAATTCTGAAAGAAAAGCAGTCAGCCGACTTTACACGTTTTCTTGCACCAGCAATATTCAAAGACTTTTCAGAGTTACACAGGCCCACTGTGAAAATCTAGACGAACTAGTTTTCCCCCCAAAATGTAGTTACATTATGTAAAGCACAGGTCTTAAATAAGTAGGATATGACCAACGGTGTTTACCCCCGAATATTATGATGCAGCTTATATAGAGGTCATCATAGAAGCATGTGTCTTACAAAGCGAGTATGAATTATGAATTCTTACATGATTTTTCATAATTCAGTACGACACACATGCGAGTATTATTTTCTTTATTGCAGATTATTTCATGATAAATTTAAGCATCCCTTTAGAAAAATGCACTGATCACAACCAATTTCTTAGAAAACCACAATTGTTGGTGGCCCCAATAAGATTGGAATGACGTAAACAACTCAGGTGAGGTGAAATTGGGGTAAACGTCGCGTCCAAGATTATTATATAGCGAGGTGCATGGACGTACGTACGTGTGCTTGTATTAGTCCGGACTGATGCCGATTTATAGTGCTAGACCACTGAGATACCATGCCGCAGTTTAACATGAATACCCCACTCAGACACAGTATACTGACTACGAGCCGACCAGTCCTTGTTTTAGCCCCTTAATGCCGAGTGCCAGGGTAACAACAAGTACCATCTTTTAACGTCTTTTGGTATGACGCGGCCGTGGACCGAACCCCGGACCTTCCGCTCTCCGGGCGGACGCTCTACGGAGGCGGTCTCACAGTTAACGAGGACCTGGGGTCTTCTTCTGCTGCTGCTGCTGCATGAATGCATTTTTCTATAATAGGATTCCAACACTACCCATACCTGACGCTTTAACTACTGGGCTACCCCACCATGCCCAATGTGATGTGTGAGGTGAAATTGGGTTTAACGTCGCGTCCAAGATTATTGCACTTATATAGCGACGTGCATGCACGTGTATGTGTGTGTGTGGCTGCTTGTACCAGTCCGGACTGATGCCGATTTATAGTGCTAGCTCACTGAGATACCATGCCGCAGTTTAACATGAATACCTCACTCAGACACAGTATACTGACTCCGAGCCGACCAGTCCTTGTTTTAGCCCCTTAATGCCGAGCGCCAGACAGGGTAACAACAAGTACAATCTTTTAACGTCTTTTTGTATGACGCGGCCCGGGATCGAACCCTGGACCTTCCGCTCTCCGGGCGGACGCTCTACCACAAGACCACGGAGGCGGTCTGCCCAATGTGAAGAGAAACACCTACCTTTTGAAGTAGGTTTTTAAGAATGCATTGTACAGTTTTAGGGGATAATCGTTAGTGCATTCTTCCAGGTGTTGCTGGATGACAATGTCGACGCCCTTTACAACAGTCTCCTGAAGCTCTTCTGCAGCCTCTTCTGCGCTGGCATTTGCCCCGATGTCAAAGTTCGCATTTTCCGTGGTAACTTTTTCCTGTAGAATTAATTATATAATACTATAGTGTTAAATCATAGGCATATAACTGCAGAATTAAAAACAGTTATTGATGACCACAAGAGTTGTAATAAAGGTTATTTCAAACTAAATGTTAAGAAACAAATATGCAATAAAATACAAATTTTCTTATATTTAATCAGTGTTGCCGTTTACCGGTAATTACCAGTTTTTTACTGGTAAAATTAGGCTTGGACCGGTAATTCATGTGACTGCCAGTCCCTGTGGACTGGCAAATAAAGTACTTATAGATCTTTGTTGTTGAACAAAAAAATCAGTGATATTCATATATACAGATACAAGTACATTTTTCGAACAAATTCAGCTTGCCTGTTACTATCAGGGTTTCCCTGTGTCTATTTCTAGGTTAAATAACCAGTTGTAGCGACTTTGTCGTAAAATATTAAAAAAGAAAGAGAAAATTGTGACTGAGTTTGCGTGAATGACGTACAGATCTAACTAAGTTAATTCAGAACATGAAGTTGAAAGAATTAACACCAATAAATTTTCATATTTTTTTTAGTTGTTGAAAGTTGTGACTGGCACAAATTAGAGGAGACTGGTAATTTTTAGAGTTGCCAGTCCTTGTGTCAAAAGCCAGCGGGAACACTGTTAATCGTATGGAGCGTACTATCAGTAATGGAGAATGTATGTAAATGGTCAACTACTTGCAAGGGTGTGGACAAGTCAGGGAGAGACACACAGGGGTCCGGAAAATTTAAAATCCCAATCGGACATTTGCATTTAGGCCACGCCCCCTTCAAATAGCGTATTTTAGTACGACTTTTCACACACATTACAACTTTATGTATTCATAATATGATGAATTATGAATTGTTTCAATTTAAATTGTTTAATTTACCGGACAATTAATAACAAATAATATCATTTTAGATTTACATGGAAAAAATACGTTTGATTCTGTTATAATAACGATCTGTTAACGTAGTGAACGGTCTAATTAATATTCATGAGTTATATTCATGAGTCTGCTCAAGTGTACGCGTTGTAACATTTGGATCGAGACTATTATCCCATATTTGGTTATCACGTGACCACACGGGAAAAGTGTTTTTTTAAACTAAAGATTTTTTTAAAAACAAGACAGATAATTTAATCACCAATACTAAAATATCGTTGATAGCAATAGTTATTTGAATACTTTTTTCATCTGTACTGAATTATTGACCATAAAAAAATTGGATATCGATCGTCCGAGAAAGCAAAATGGCATTCAATCAAGATTCAATATACGACTAGCTACTGAAAACAATAAAATCTGCAAATCCTCATTGTATGTCAACCAAGTGAAAGTCGTTAGCCACGACTTACAAAATGATCGTCCAGACTTTGAGGGTTTGGCAGATCCGCCTGACTGATCTGCATAGGTCGACTGGCTGTCGTCACGCTTTCGCTTCTTGTCTGAGGTTACGTATCGTAGCATTGTGAGGATAATGAGGTACATCGATGATGCAAGGTATTAATGTACAGTTGTAAACACCTTTCACTCAAATTAACAAGATGTTCTCAGTAATTAATCCTCGATTAATCAGTGTCAACTCAGTTTATTGCCTATTACAGTGATTGACAGATTGGACTATCATGTAGGTACGATGTATTTACAGCAATCAAAACAAACAAAGCTTGTCAGTGTAGTTAATCTTCATTGTGTTGCAACTGCAGACAGAAACTGCTCAGTCCTAACTGTTGATCATGTCCGGTCAAAATTTAAGAATGTCCGGACAATACTTTTTAAAATGTCCGGTAAGCAATATTTTAAAACGGACATTTGAGATTCCCAATCGGACATGTCCGGCGCATATGACGGTTTCCGGACCCCTGGAGACACACGTTTTTTGTTTTGTTTGCTGTTTAACGAGGCACTGGGCAATATTCCAGCTATATGACGGCAGTCTGTAAATAATTGAATCTGGACCAGACAATCCAGTGACTGATCTCATGAGCATCGATCACCCAATCGCCTACCGGTATTACAAGAAGCAAAGTTGCTGAAGACCTTTTCTGCCCCAGATCTTTTAAATTTGTAGTTTTTGCATTTGCGAGGCACTTCCAAGGCAACAAGGACTTATGGTTCAATATTCCAAGATTGAACTTTGTAAGCACATCAGATAAACATAATACAACGCTCTTTGGATTCTGAGTTAAAATAGGTCCCATGGAACTTATGCTTGTTACGAGGGGCGACTGAATTGATTGGATTGTCAGGCTCGGTGACTGCAAGCTAGCAAAACTCTGTGTGTTTTCTGCTATTAGCTATTGATGTCAGTAGTGGTAGAGATAGAAGTGCATACAGCTAGTAGTAAACCAATCTAGAAACAGACTATAGAAATGTAGCACAAGCTCAACTCGCTACCATTGAAACATGAAGAGAAGGGGTTAACGGTCTGGTATTACCTCAAGCTGAGGTTAGACGATTATGATAAGTGTATAGTGTAGCGATATCAACTTTTCAGTCAAAAGCCAACAGGACATTTTTAAAAGTATCAGGAAAAGGGGTAATGAGCCACCCGAGTCTGAATAGGATGAACAAAGGTGGTGTCCTCAGCTGTGATGTTTCAGTTTTTACCAAGAAGCCATATGGCTACAAGTATTTTTGTCCAGGTAGCCAGTGGTGAAATCAAGAAGTCAAGCCAATCTTGTAGGGAGCCAAAAGCATTTGAAATTATCTTTATCAAATAACTATTATAATATGTACAAGTTACAGCACTAGTCTTGAAATTGTATCTTAATGGATACTGAATTTGAATTTTGTTACTTGTGACTTGAACAATGATGCAATTTATGTTACAAGATTATATAGGTATATCCTTGCTTATCCAATGAGCATTGTCAACTAAAACAAAGTAGTTTTGAATTACATTAATTTTTATGTGTTTTGGTTCATGGTCAACTTTAGAAGGAATAATTTGAGAGTACAATTATTAGCAGAAATGTTTTCCAATATCAGCCATTATTTATGTTTGTGTCTACAGATGTGTAGCAATAGAATTTAGTCGCCACAAGATATTTTTCAAGGTAGTCATTTGGCTACCTCTGAATTTTAGACAGTAGGCAAACTGAAATTTAGGTCGCATTGGCTACCATTTTAGTCATAACTCTGAGGCCTGTAGAGTAACATCTCAACTGTTGGACACCATCGCAGCTCCTATCACTGGATTGTCTGGTCCTCCACACTCAATTACAGACCGCCGTCATATAGCTGGAATATTGCTCAGTGCAGCATAAAACAAACAAAACCAAAATCTTTGCCGACAGGAATATGATGCACAATGGTTGACATCAAATGTGCAATACGATACTCGGTGGAACAATAAGTGTATCAATGTCATATCACAAAACTATTCACGTACAAGTAACTCATGAAGATCCAGGTTAGAATTGGTCTTCAGCAACCGCTTGTAAGAGGCAACTATGCTTGTCGTAAGAGGCGACTAGTCTTAGGAGCTATCGGGTTGTCAGGCTCGCTGGCTTGGTTGATGCATGTCATCGTATCCCAATTGTATGGGTCGAAGCTCATGATATCAATCATTGGCAGGGGTAGAAACTAACATATTTTGTCCACTAGTCTTTATAATGATAACATATAGCAAGACCCTGGAAAATGGCAAATTTCTACTAGTCCTTATGATCATGATGATACCTTAACTATTTGGCAGTTTGGCAAGGACTACAGGACTAAAATTTCTAACGCTGATTGGATTGTCTGGTTCACACCCGATTATTTTCAGACCACCTGTCAAATAGCTGGAAAAATGCCAAGTGTTGCGTTTGGCCTATACAAACAAGCAGATGTATATAATAGATCTACCATGATAAACAAAATCTTAAACGATATGAACATTTACTGTAAAATAATATTTTGGTTTTTTTTAAGTACAAGAGGCGACGAGCTTCAGTATTATTGATTGATTGAAATCTAATCACTAAATTATTAGGCCCTATATGTTTTTTGTCGGTTCGGCTTCATTTCAATGTGATGGGTGTGTATCTCTCCTGACCTGTCAATGTTTTATACTTTTACCAGTGCGGTCTTGTACGGAGACCAAGAAAATCACAATTCAATCGCGTTTTTTCAAAACAAACAAAATATGTTTTCATACCACACACGTCACTCTGAAGACCTCGTTGTTTCCAACTTTCGTGATCTTGTTGCTGTCAGTAAACAACTCATCACCTGCAACACAAAAACGTTCATAGATCAGATATAGCTTGAAGTTAACTTAAATAAACATGAACCCACAACAAAACATACAGTACGTGTGAGTCCTGACCTGTGAAGGTGTCGCGGAAGATGATCATCGTTGAAGATGGGGTCTGATTTCAAGATCAGTGGCTCTGACAACGTCGCAGTTATGGCGAACGGGCTAAAAAGGAAGTGGGAGCAAGGTGCGACAACCGGTGTGCGCAAACGAATGGTAGTATTGACTAAACTGGCGCCTGGTTCTGTCTGCGCTTAGCTTATCCGCTGGTTTGTTGAAAGCGACGATACACAAAACCTGATTCGCTCAGATCTAGAAGAATGCCAAATTTGTTGAAATAGTTGAAATATGATAATAAGGTGTCCAATAAGGTGAAACTGTCATCATTTCAACATTCGAAATAAAATTAATGTGTTTTCAGTGTGCTGAGCCTGTCAGAACGTTTAGTTAAAAGAACCTAATAGACCCACGTGTAATGCGTGGGCGAAGGAAGAGATTTTACGTGCGCCACAGAGAGTGATCGTCGGACGTTTCTGTTAAGGATAGTCGCCCGCAACAGCAGCAACACGACTACCATGTGGCTACCGGAGCAACACGGGTCTACTACAACAGTAACTCTGTACCACTTAGCAGTAACACTAGACCACTACAGCAGTAACACTCGACCGCTTCAGCAGTGACACTAGACCACTACTGCAATGACGCTAGACCACTACAGCAGTGACTCTAGACCACTACACCAAGAGACACTAAACCACAAAGCAGTAGCACTAGACCACTTCAGCAGCAACACTAGACCGCAACAGCAGTAACACTAGACCAATACATCAAGAGACACTAGACCACTACTGCGGTGACACGAGGCCACTACAGCAGTAACACTAGACCACTACTATAGTGACAGTAGACCACTACTGCAATGACACTAGACCACTACAGCAGTGACAATACACCACTACAACAGTAACACTAGACCACTACATCAAGAGACACTAGAGACACTACAGCAGTAGCACTAGATCACTACAGCAGTAACACTAAACCACTTCAACAGTGACTCTGTACCACTAAGCAGTAACACTAGACCACTACATCAAGAGACACTTGACCACTACAGCAGTAACACTAGACCACTACAGCAGTAACACTAGACCACTACAGCAGTAACACTAGACCACTACAGCTGTAACACTAGACCACTACATCAATTACACTAGACCACAACAGCTGTGACACTAGACCACTACATCATAGACACTAGACCACTACATCAGTGACACTAGACCACTACAGTAGTGACACTAGACCACTATAGCAGTGACACTAGACCACTACAGCAGTGACACTAGACCACTACATCGGTGACACTAGACCACAACAGCTGTGACACCTGACCACTACAGCAGTAACACTAGAACACTACAGCAGTGGCACTAGACCACTACAGCTGTGACACTAGACCACTACAGCTGTGACACTAGACCACTACATCAGTGACACTAGACCACTATAGTAGTGACACTAGACCACTACAGCAGTGACACTAGACCACTATAGCAGTGACACTAGACCACTACAGCAGTGACACTAGAACACTATAGCTGTGACACTAGACCGCTAAAGCAATTATACGACACTACTTTATCAGTGACACTAGACCACTACAGAAGTGACACTAGCGTGCTACAGCTGTGACACTAGACAACTACAGCTGTGACACTAGACAACTACAGCTGTGACACTAGTCCACTAAAGCAGTGACACTAGACCACTATAGCAGTTACACTAGACCGCTACAGCAGTTACACGACACTACTTCATCAGTGACACAAGACCACTACAGCAATGACACTAGACCACTACAGTAGTGACACTATACCACTACAGAAGTGACACTAGCGTACTGCAGCTGTGACACCAGACAACTACAGCTGTGACACTAGACAACTACAGCTGTGACACTAGACAACTACAGCTGTGACACTAGACAACTACAGCAATGACACTAGACAATTACAGCTGTAACACTAGACCACTGCAGCAGTAACCCTATACCAGTACAGCAATTATTTAGATTTCAACAGGCGTGAGTGTGCCATTTTGTAAACAATATAAGTTGTCAGCCGATCTCGAGTGGTACACGGTGTGATGTACCTGTGTGTGCGCCTGTGTACCCCGAGCCGTCAAGGTACGTCAGAACATATTCCCCCAGGGATCGTCTGACAGCAAATATATTGTCCGCAGTTTCACCGAGTTCAAGGGAAACTTATCATCCACCAGAAGAGTGAGTGAGTGAGTTGGGTTAAACGCCGCTCTTAACAATATTCCAGTTATATCACAGCCTGTCAGCTTAATGTGGGAGGAAAGCCCGAAGTGATGCAGGTCTCAGACGTTTACCACTTCGGTGAAACCCACGGCCACGGGTATGGTGCTGACAAACCTAGAAACATAATTGGGGCGAACCGGGATTCGAACCCACAATCATAGGTTTCTGGCGTGCCCAAGGGACGCAACTCTGCACAGCGAATCGCGGCGCCTTAGACGACTGGGCCACCCGTGCTCCCTGCACCAGAAGATCCAGCAGCCGCATGCGGGAAAGAGCGACAGAAGTCCAATGTTATGGACTCACTGCAGAATCCTCTTTAAATTCCCAAGCAAGTGTAGCAAGGACCTTCCCGAAATATGTCTATAATTTTTTATGACCCTCCCTTGGGGACTGTCATATATTTTGGTGACACTCCCCTGATTACCTCTGGCCAACCCTCCACAATAATAAATGACCGGGTTTTTTTTAAATCGAAAAAGGGAAAAGGCAATTCAAATGACATTGCGTCTCTAGTAATAGGTAGAGAAGTAAAAGATCGTTTTTTGATAAATTGTGTATAACGACTAAGTAAAAGGTTATCAATATCTAACTGACGAGCAAAAGAAACTATACCAAACTATGTATCATGCTTGAAAATACCTAGTTGTCGCGTTTGTTATGCACAGGACAAAACACGTCCGAGGGTTGATATGATATTTATAACCCGCACCCCGGGGGATTTTTCGAGGGAAACGGTTTTAAATATCACTTACGACCCGAGGGGAAGTGTTTTATCAAACTTATTGATATTTATAAACATTTTTATGTTTCGAACATACTTTCCATGAACATTAGGAAACGGGCGTGACATATCTGTTGCTGGTATACGGATCTTGAATAGGGCATCCTAAATACATTGTGAGTGAGTGAGTGAGTGAGTGAGTGAGTATGGTTTTACGCCGCTTTTAGCAATATTCCAGCAATATCACGGCGGGGGACTCCAGAAATGGGCTTCACACATTGTACCCATGTCGGGATTCGAAAATACATTGTGATTAATCAGCGTGTTACGACGTAAATTGTAATAAAAAGGTTAATTGTAATACTTGCAGCAAATTGTAATAATTTTGACGTAAATTGTAATAACAACGTAAATTGTAATACAATTTGACGTAAACTGTAATACGCAAGTTGTAATAAAAATTGACGTAAATTGTAATAATCTCAACTTGCGGTAAAATGTAATAACTTTTTACGTAAATTGTAATAACCTTATAAGTTTAGTGTCAAAGGCGTTAAATGACTAGAACCTATCCTTGTCAGGGTTGGTACAGGGTTTATCCTACACTCGTCATATAAGTATGGGTGTGGGGGAGGATTGAGGTCGTTATCTAACATTGTTGTATAATTTATATATAAACGCATTGGAATTTCATTTCTATGGTTGTCCAGAAGAGGATTAATTACTAGAATGAACTTAGTTTTCTTATTTATTTGAGAAGTACTCTGTGTGTTTTGTATTATATTTTGACGAAGTATTCAAATACAACAAATCAGTGACAGATCTCCTGTGCAATGTCAAATGAAAAAAAAAAACAGTCGTCAGCAAATGCAGCATAGATTTCCCATGCATGGGAAAGGAGAATACTTAATACATAACATCATATACAAAGTTGTTATTAATATCAAAAGAGGGGCGTGGATATTCTTTACCTACATTGCATATACTATTAGATATTGTGTATTCTCGATCTCTGTGAACTTCTCACAGATAAAGAAATAATAATAAATAAATGCAAACCATGTTAACTTATGCAATATTTGTAGCAATGTATGATTAACATATGGATCATTAATATAACATAAAATATTTCCTTTCATAGGAAGAAGTATATTTAATGAAATAAATGAATAAATGTATCCGTCTGGATTCCTTAAATATGTCATGAAGAACTAACAACAACTTACTGACAACTTTTGCTGGGATAATAACTCCTTGTCCCAACAACAAAAACAGAAACCATCGTGATAACGGCACGAAATCATAATTCAAAGCATACACAAATAACATCCGGTATCTTCGGGCATGTCTTGTTGAGATTCAAAGAGCATCAGAATGTATAATAAATTTGTTGCAATCAATTATTTCTGAAATAAATCTGTTTTGATCAAAATTGAAAGGATGGAAAATCTATAATGAAAAGGGTTTGTCACCAACGTAAATATTCTCTTTGACCTAATAGGAAGAGCATTCTAAGATCATTAAACACGGCAAACGTTGGTGGATTGCGCCAAGCAACCTTGATACCAAATTTGGTACCTCACGTATAATGCGGTACATAAAATTTCGAAACAGATAATTACGTTTTTCATAAGTTATCACTCATTTGTGACATATATAAGGAAAATTACCTCAGAGGATAATCTTCTCTGGGGTTTTAAGAGGATTAAAATAATTCCAGCTAACATCAAGCACTGTAATACAATATTGAAATTATAGCAGACCTTCTTAACATTCCAATGAAAAGAATAGTGACTAACAAATTATATTTATCTCCGATACTATGCCCTCATCAGTATACATACACACACACACACACACACATACATACATACACACAAGTACACATATACACACCAACACACACATACAAACACATACACACATAGGTATGTATATGTATGTGTGTGTATCTCTCCCCATGTATGTCTGTATGTATGTGTGTGTGTGTGTGTGTGTGTGTGTGTGTGTGTGTGTGTGTGTGTGTGTGTGTGTGTGTGTGTGTGTGTGTGTGTGTGTGTGTAACAAATGAACAAAGTAAGATATTTTAAAAGATAACATAGAAACACAAACCTGTAGATATACGAATTAGAATGTAGCAAATACATTAGATAAACGTATCTTCTACGTAGATAAAAGTATGTCC